CTTCTGCGCTGCCTCCGGGTGACTTGAACCTTCAACGTTTCTGTTAGTTTGCACCACCTAGGGACTCCTTACACTGACTACCATTAACCGTTTCCCTCAAACCTAGATCCCCTTTCCTGTATGCTACGTTGATCGGATGTAGCCTATTTTCATCAAGTTTTGGAAACTAGTTCCCACCTTAGGCTACTGAAAGCCCCACATCCCCTCCTCCCCCGGACCCCAGCCTCCAGTTTAAAGATTACACTTAGGTAGATACAGTAGATGCCAGATGAGAGAAATGGAAGATGACTCTTTTCTATGGAGCAGTCTTGGAGCCAGACGGGAGGAAGGGTCCCTACTAGGTCATCTGGGCCACCCTTCTGCCTTTGAGACACCAGATGAATAACATATATTAGACTGCCTTTAGGAAGGGGGGACTAAGGGATTTCATTACCAAGATGAAGGGCCAGGAGCTGCACATTTGATTTGTAAACACATCAGTCGAAGTGCTGGCATATATCACTTCACACCCTATGAAGGAAGGAGAAAGCATGTTATTAACCTAAGGGAAGGGTTGTGAGGATTTGCCCTCCCTTTCAGATTTCCCCCAGGCTACCTTGAATCTACTTTTCAGTTTTCCAAATGAAATTAGCAAGTAATTAAATCACCCAAGTAAAAGTTGCTTTCACTTGATTATGACTCTTAGAGTCCTGCAGTTGGCCTGTGGAGGAAAATGGGCCTCAGTTGTCCTCTTTTGAGGCTCTTCCTTCCTCTTTCTAATGGGTTATTTGGATCCACATACTGCTGGAATTGTGAAAAACTTAACCCGCAAAAAGTTCCAGCTTGATGAAGATCAATCTGTTTCCTGGATATACCCCCCAAGGATCTGTATGGAAAAAAAAGAAAAAAGAATTCCCCATCCCACCTCAGGGGAATTGGGATCACTGCAGGATAATGAGAGGGGTGGCCTAGGGGCTTTTCTTATCCTTAAGCAGAAGCCATTTCCTGTCCTCTAGATTCCACTCGTGCAACCTGCTCTGAGCTGCTGTGGTAGCGGACTTCTATCTAGCTGGAGCCGATAAGTGCTGTATCACTCCCTGAGCAGCAAGATGGGCCAAGCCAGTCAGATCTCTCTGGAAAAAGCAGAAATAAATCAAACCCCAGCCCCTACTTAAGATCTGATGAAATTCTCCATTTCCGCTCCAAATTGAATTCCTCCCAAAGGGTTGGAGCAGCTCCTGAGAGTAATGAAGGCACTCCTTCCTCTGCTAGAAGCATGTTTCAAATTAACAGACACAGCGTTCTAATCTGGGCGGGTATGTAGTTTAAGGAATAGTCTTGAGAAACCACCTTCAGAGCAGACATGGTATTTTTAATCTTGAAGGGTAAGGCAGCTGACGTGCAATACCACTTGGCCTTTGTCAAGGAGGCCACCGTGCAGGTGGTCTCCTGAGAAGGAAAAAGAACACACGTCCTTCCCCTCCTTGGGCCACTGGTAGTAAAAGAGAATTTATCATTGAGAATACAAGCAAGAGGGCTGGTGAGGTTTGAGAGAGAGCTGACTGTATTGCTGTCCTGCCCTCGTCTTATTTGGGAAAATGGTAAACTCTGTGAAGAATATATATATATTTCTATTTAGGATAAAGATGTCATTGAAGTGATTCTCTGTCCTTTCTGTAATGATGATAAATCCATAATTTGTCATTTGTAGAGGCAGTTGACATAGGCTCTTTGGGAGGGGGGTTGGGAAAGATAGAAAAGAAAGCCTGGTTTTAAAATGGGCCTTGTCAGTGTGAAGAGTGATCACCAGCAGGCTGATTAGGACCATGAATAAGGTTCTGAGAAGTCAAGGATGTGTGAGGAGCCTGGGGGTGAAAGGGATAAATCAAAGTTAAGGTAGGAGGAGAAAATTCTAAAAACTCATTCTGTTTTAAAGGTGGATATGAGATAAGTGGTGCTATTGGTGAAAGACTATTTAATGTTATTCCTCAAAGTAAGCTTTAGAGCATTATTTAACTTTTTTTTTTTTTTTCACTCACCGTTGAAGAAAGCGCAGTTTAAAATACAAAGATAAGGGGTTTAAAAATTCTACTTAACACAAGAGATTCTGACATTTAGGGTCAAAGGGAAGGAAGGAAATTCTCCTTGAAAGAAAATTCTGTTGGTTCTCTTATGTCACAATTTTGTTTAAAAACCTTGAGAAAGGTTATCTTCCAAAACCTCACTCTATGTTTTTAATTTAGTTTGAAGGAAGAAGTCATTTCCTTCATAAGAAAATATAACCCCAAATATAAAGTTGAGCCCTCAGTAGGTAAGTCTCAACTTTAGATGGCAAATGGGCTGCAGGAGGATTTAGGGTCTGGTTCTCAACTGGAAAATTGCTTCTCAGGGAGAAGGGCATGTTTTCCACTGATAATGGTGCCATTTTTATGTCGTTAGATGCCCTGCCTTCCGAGTCAAGAGAATGTTTAAGCTTCCATCTCTCTCAAAGGACAGTAGGAGATACATTTATCCCTCACCTAAGAAGAAAGGATTGAGGATGGGAAGTGGAAATTTACGTTAGACTTCAGCAATGCCAAGGTCTGCCCCGATGCACCAAGGCGGAGGTGGTAGTGACTCCAGGGTACTTACTGGTAGCAAGGGGCGTCTGCTGGACTCAACAAGGGAGAAAAATGAAAGGGCAGGAAAATGAAATGCCACCCCCCCACCCAGCTGCCCTGTGCATTCCTTCAGGTCCCTGCAGACTTTTTATTTGCAGAAATGGACCTTGGATGGAACAACAGCCAGCAGGCCACTCTGGACCACGGACGCTTTTTCTTCACAAGCCATTAGCTTGCATAACCTTGCTGGGTCAGCGACACAGTTTCTATAACTACTGTGCACCGTCTGTCTGTCTATCTGGCTGGGAGACTCTTCCAGTACAGCCTTGTCTTTGAGTCTGTTTATAAGGCCTGAAGTTACTTCTGTTTTGTTTTAGCCAAAAGGGTGTACCGCTGCCAGCAGTATGTCTGGAATGTTATTTACTTGGTGCATTTCTGTGGCTTTTCTTTGTAGCACCGCACATGCCAGAGCAAGGGGTCGGGGACTTGAAAATGCCACGCTGCACCGCACCCGTTTGTCTTCTCAACAGGGGCGCCTTTCTCAGGAAGAGGAGCTTAGCACCTGTGCCTCTGTTTCCTTCCTTCTCATTTTGTTGTTTTGTTTGTTTTTTCTTTTTAATGTTTGGTTAATGCTCTGAACTAATGCTGGCAGAAGGAGTCCTGGTAGTGCAGCGGTTTAAGCGCTTGGCTGCTAAGCAAAGAAGGTCAGTGATTCAAACCCTGTAGTGACTCCCCAGGAGAAAAGATCTGGAGACCTATGCCCATAGAGATTACAGCCTAGGAAACCCTATGGGGCAGTTCTACTCTGTCATATAAGGTCACTATGAGTTGGGATTGATTCAGTGACATACAACAATAACAACATTGACAGTTGTTGCATTGAATCCTTCTGTCATAAATCCCCCTTCCCCTCACATGCATGCACACACAAAATACCACACCAGTTGCCGCTGAGGCAACCTCACATGTATTAGAGTAGAATTGTACCCCATGGAGTTTTCAGTGGCTGATTTTTCAGAAGTAGATCATCAGGTCTTTCTTCTGAGGTGCCCTAGGTAAACTCAAACCTCCAACCCTTTGGTTAACAGCCAAGCATCTTAACAATTTGCACCAACCCAGGGTCTACCCTAAATGCTCCAACTTCACCTTTACTTTCTGGGATTTCTGAGCTCCCAAGCACTGCTTTTCATTTGTGTGCCTGCCCTGTTATTATTTCACATGAAGGCTGTCAATTCCGGCAACACAACGCCCACATTTCAGTGGAACTATCTGAGCTAAATGGGTGATGTTGTGAAAGGGAAATGTAGGTGGAGTTTTCTCAAATGGTGGCATTGGGGCCGAAAGAAAAATCTGCAAGTGGGATTGGCTTGTGTGGATACGACATGAGGAAGGCCATTTTGAAGGAAGGAGCCAGTGTATATGGTTTCTTGATTTGGAAGATTTTACAAGTGTTTTGTTCAAATAATGGAGGAGAGGTGTTTTTTTTTTTTTTTTTTTTTTTTCAGAGCACATTCTTCCTTAGGAAGACTGTAAACAAGTCCTGGATAAATGGTGAATGCTGAAAGTGGAAGCATGGGAGGTATTCTGTTTTGCCTCTTCTTTCTTCAACCTCCCTTCCTCATATTTCATCTCTGCAATTCTAATCATGGTATTTGGAATTTTAAAACAAGGTATTGAAAATGAGATTAGATAAATCTCCCAGGCTGGTACTAGCCCTGGGGCCGTTTGCACACCTGGGTGGGTTAATTCCCAACCTTCTCGCTCTCATGCTCTCTCTCAGCATAATTTTGTTATGTCTGTGAATTTAGAAGTGCCTACAGGTAAGAGATGATACCATTGAATATCTTTGCCCTAGGGAGACTCAGCTTTTATCTGGTTCTCTTGGAAACCTCACCCATCCCTGGCATTTGTTGGTGACTCAGTGGCCAACCCCAGTGCGAAATGGAAAATTTTTGCTTCCATTCTTCTTGGAGTTTCCTGTCCTTCTGCATGACTTCTCCATTTGTTTGTAAGCTGCTCGGATATTTGGCTGAAGGGTCTTCTTTGATCACTCCCCTGACAGCCTGGGCTTCTCCTTCTCACACCTGCCCTTCCTTTATAGTCTAGGTTTCAGAGTAAATGCTTCCATGGGCCTTGTAATTTTTTCAGTGTAAAACTTCGGGCAGGTTACTTATTACAGGTAATAGCCATTTGATGACGGGGACAACTGCTTGGCAGAAAGAGCCACCTGACCCTCTGCCAGAAACATAAACTGCCACTTTATTTTATTTCTCAAAGCTGCTAAGCTGCAAGCCTGTCGGTCAAGATCTAACATGCGCATGATAATAACAGGCTTGCCTGGCTAAGAAAGCCGCCCACTGGGACAGCCATGAGGGCAGGCTCTAACAAGACTCCATGTGTTTTGTCCCCCATTATCCACAGCCCACACCTCATCTTTCTCTCTCAGAGCACCTTGACTGGAAGCCACCTTTGTGGGACCCGCCTTTGCCATGAGATTGCTCACGCCTGGTTTGGCCTAGCCATTGGGGCTTGCGACTGGACGGAAGAATGGCTGAGCGAAGGATTTGCTACTCACTTGGAAGATGTATTTTGGGCAAAAGCACAGCAGGTAAGTTTAACGTGACCCAAAGCATTTCATTACTTCATCAATTCTATTCCTACTCATTTGTTCATTCAACAGATACGTACTGAGTTAGGAATCCCTGGGTAATGTAAATGGTTAACGTGCTAGGCCATTAAGGTTGGGTTCAAGTCTACCTGGCGGTGCCTTGGAAGAAATGCTTGGTGATCTACTTTCAAACTACCAGCCATTGAAAACCCTATAGAATGCAGTTCTACTCTGACACACATACAGGGTCACCATGACTAGGAGTCTACTTGACAGCAACTGGTTGGTAGGTGTTGAGTTTGTTGTTCTGAATGCCAGAGGAAAGTCTCCGGTCCCTGTGGGGTTCACAACCTAGAGATAGGAAAAAGAATGGAGAAGTAAACAAATGTCTCTGTAACATATCAGGTGGTGATGAGGACTGTGGAGAAAAATGAAGTCCATAGAGAATGAGGGGGGAGTGCTATTTGAGAGATAATTAGGGAAGGCATTCTGATAAGAGGGCATTTGAGCAGAGATTTAAATAAGAGGTCAGGCTATGGCACACTCAGGCCCTCCTTTGTGCTTGTGGTCACAGTGATGGTGACCGTATTTTGTTTTGTTTTGTCCTTCCTTTTTTTTTTAATTTATTATTATTATTATTATTATTATTGCAGTGTTCCCTCTGCTCCCCTCCCACCTCTGGAATACAACAAAGAAAGTTTCCTTCCATATATAAACCTTTCCATGACTTTATACAATAATGAATCAATACAATATTTGTCCTTCTGTGATTGACTTATTTCACTCAGCATAATGTCCTCCAAGTTCATCCACGGTATGCAGTGTTTTGCAGATTCTACTTATTCTTTAGTGTTGCATAGTATTCCATTGTATGTATGTACTACAGTTTGTTTATGCATTCTGTTGATGGGCACCTAGGTTGTTTCCATCTTTTGGCTATTGTAAATAGTGCTGAGATGAACATGGGTGTGCATATATCTGTTTTTGTCCTGGCTCTCACTTCTTTAGGATATATACCTAGTAATGGGATTGCTGGGTCAAATGGTATTTCTAATTCCACATTTTTAAGGAATCACCGTACTGCTTTCCACAGGATGACCATGTTTTTGTTTTTAAATAATCAGATTAAAATTAATACAGTGGTCATAATTTCCCATGTCTGCTAGGGATGAATGGAGAATGAAGCAGTATTGGAGATTAGGGAATGGTGAGGACTGTGACAAACTGGCAGCTGCTACTCGGCTGCTACTATAAAGTCCTGTTGAAGAGAAGACTTGATATAGCCTAGGCTTCTGGTTTTTAAGGAAAGTCTTCAATCAGAATGTTTATGTAAAATATACTAATTTAAAAAACAGTATGAAAACTAAACACATCCAGAGGCCTGACTTGGTCAACATGCTCCCATTTTCTAACATCTACTTTAAAGAACTGGTCACCAGTTCTAGTTAAGATTCTGCAACTAAACTGCTTTCTGCTTATTTTCTAGTTCTTAATATCTTGGTTGCTTCTTTTTCCTGTAACCACCCCTTACACATTGAAGTATTTGGCATTTTTCAGAATTCACATTTTTATACATATCCATTTGATTTAGTTCAAATTCCTTCTGTCAAAAGCCTATTTATTTTTAATTAACCAGCTCAGTGTCATCTTCTCTGCATAGCCCAGACTGATCACCACACTCACAATTTAACACTTCTCTCCAAAAGCTTTGAACTTTCACGAGATTTGGTGGTTATCTCTTTTGTCTCATTTTGTTCCTACCTCCTTCCACTCTGTGGTTTTCTGAGCCTCACCTCTAGACTGTGACCTTTTTCAGGGTAGAGCTGTGTGTTACTCATCCTCTGACCTCCTTCACACCTTTTCTGTAGAGCTAGCTCTGCTGTTCCCCAGCTTTGTGAGGAGAGGTAGGTAATATCATTTCCCCGAACCTCAGTTACCTCTTTGTAGGATGGGTATAAAGATGCTTAACCTTGCAGCATGAGAGGGATATGTGAGTGAGCTTAGCACCATGTCTGACAAATGGAGGGTGGGCAAAAAGTACTGGTTTTCCTTTCCTGTTCTCCTCCTCTTGGTATTTACCACCATCTTGCACAGAGTTGGCATTTAGTAAAGGTTTAATGTAAATATGCATTTCTCACTATCCCTTTCTTGGAGGTGTTCCCATTTTGAGACAATTGGATTTGTTCTAATCTTGCAATTTCCAGTATATTTCAGGCATCTGATAATGATATCGAGCTCCTTTTTGTCCTGTATAAAGGACAGGCATATTATTACATATCCTCTTCTACTTTCCTTCTTCATCTCTTTGCTTGGGACCCTCCACTCACTGCCCCCTCCACTGATAGGTGCATGAGAAACTGACCTGACTGCATCTCACAACCTTCTGGGAGTCTATTCTGTGCTGATCTGCAGGGAACAAAAGGATGAAACAGGTCATCATCTGCAAGAATAAGAAAAGCATACAGAGGAAAGAAGAAAAGCAATCAACAAAGAGAGTTGAGCACCAAATACTGTGCAAGTTCAAAAGTGGCAAAGGAGGTCCAGAAGGAGGAGGAGTTCTGCCATGGGCAGAACATAGCAGTTCTTTCTTTGAGGTTTCTTTATCCTTCCTGCTCTGTTAACCTGGCATAAAGATGGCCCACCTCCTCATCCTTCAAAGTGCATGCGGTAACTCTCCAGCATGTGAAAACACAAATGCCTCTGAGGGAAAGAGGACATTCTAGACTCCAGCACAAAGTTTGGAAACATTTCCAAAAATGCATCTGTTGCTCTGACCCCTTCCTTGATGAGTGCTACTGAGCTGGTGCTGTCTCTGACCAGTGCCCACACCAGACTCTTAAGCAGGAGAGGGGCAGGGAAGGCTGGGCCACCTTATTCGACCCTGCTGGCCAGTGTGGGCTCTGTCAGTGAAGAGACTTGAGGGCATGTTGGTGGTAAGGTCCTTAGGTCCCTTCACTGCCCAGGCATCGGTGCAGCACTGAGCACGAGACAACACAGTGAAGGGTGGGGAATGTGATATCACTGAACAAGGAGATGGAAGCCAGCATGCAACTCAACAACCTGGAGGAAGTCTAAACTCATTCTCAGGGCACACAGTGTCTGCCTGTTATCTGGCCTCTGCTGGCTTCTCAGCCCCTCTGCCTCCCTCCCTGATGGTACCTACTCCAGCCTGACCCCATTTCCTGCTGTTACTAAACACATCATGCCCTTTTCCAGGCCCTGAGTGCCTTGCTCATACCTTATCTCTTCGTGAACTGCCTCCTTTCTGGTTTAGGTCACTTGCCCTGTAGACAGCTCAGGCCCCACCTCCTCCTCAAAAAAAGCTTCCTGACCACTCCAGGTGTGGAAGGCATCTCAGGGCTTCCTCAACCTGTCTCCCTTTGGGACTGCTTGATAGAGGCTCGGTCTTCGTCACCATAACACCCCCAGGTCCTATCAGAGACTCTGTAAATATCTGTTGAAAGAATTACTACCAGTACCAATTGCCCTCAAGTTGACTCTGACTCACGGCCACCCCATGTGTGTCAGGGTAGAACTGTGCTCCATAGGGTTTTCAGTGGCTGATACTTTGGAAGTAGATCACCAGGCCTTTCTTCTGAGTTGGTAGACTCAAACTACCAACCTTTTAGTTAGCAGTGTGTTAACTGTTTGCACCACCAAAGTGAACTGAATGAATTATTACCCCAAACCAAACCCAACCCACTGCCGCTGAGTCAATTCTGACTCATAGCAACCCTACAGGAGACAATAGAACTGCTCCATCCAAGGCTGTAAATCTTCATGGAAGCATATTGTCTCCTCTTTCTTCCATGGAGTGGATTTGAACCACCAATCTTTTGGTTAGCTGCTGTGTGTTTTAACCACTGTGTCACCAGGGCGTCTGAATGAATTATTCAACAAAAAACAAATCAAACTTACTGCCGTCGAGTCGGATCCGACTCATAGCATCCTCTCCTTGGGTTTCTGAGACGGTGTCGCTACAGAAGTAGATTGCCCAACCTTCCTTCCAAGGAGTGGCTGGTGGATTTGAACCGCCAGCCTTCTGGTTAGCAGTAAAATGCCTTAGGCACTACACCACCAGAGAATCTGTGAGAAAAGAAAGTTTATATGTACTAGATATTTTTCCTCACCAGTGGATACTCTGCTGCCCTCTCTCATGGAGATTATAGCTGTGTGGCCTAGTGACTATCTCAGAGTGATAGCAGCTGATCCTAATGCTATGGCACCTCGGTGACTTGTCCCTCCCCCAAATGAGAACAGGCAGTAAACTATTTCTGGTTATATGCAACAGAATCATCTGGGTTTCATTAGCAGGCCCCACTGTAAACAGTCCTTAACAAAACTGAGGGCTGGAAAAAATGGGAGGGAAATGAAAAGGGGGGGGGGGACCTTCCCCACCCTGGTCAGAAAAACAAAGCAGGGAAGGGCTGGATGGAATCAAAGTAGAAATGGCCCCTTGGGGAAGTTAGTTCCCAGTCCAGGTGTGTGTGCAGGGGAGGGCCCCAGGACCATGGGTCCCCCCTCTACTGGCCGACCCTATGCTGTTCACCAGTCTTAGAGTGTGTGGCTAGTTCTTCATTGGTGAAACCAGAGACTCCTGGGCCCCTTGACTTTCTTCATGGGGGATGTTGATAAAGTCACCCCCACCTTTGAAACAAAGCAGCCCATTGCATAGGGCAGTTCTTGCCCAGCCCACGGAAGCAACAATGACTGTGTTCTGTGCATGTGTGTTTGCATGTTTGTCTGTGGCTGAGCAGCTGGCCCCCCGAGAGGCCCAGGAGCAGCAAGAGCTGCGGGCCTGCCTGCGCTGGCGCCGCCTCCAGGATGAGGTACGGAACTCGGCCGAAGAGATGCAAGTTCTAAGGTAAAGCATCATTATTACTGTGCAGCCTTCCCCTCCTCCCTCCCGCTCTCCCTCTTCTTCCCTACAAGAGTCATACAGGTCATCTGATTAAACTGGCTGAGTTGCCTTTGTAAATTAAACCAGGCTATATTCATCCTGCAGAGGTATGATTGTTAGGTTTTGAGTCTACCAGGGTGTGGGTTTGGATTTGCCTTCTGACATTTTCCCTGTGCCTCTATTTGGGCTGGGGGTTGTGGTGGGAGGCAGGGAAGAGCATGAAGCCATTTCCTAGACTCAGTTCTTTGTTTGAGGCTCTAATAGTCACTTTACCTGATGGATGAAAACATGTAAAAAGGTTGGGGTTTGGTAGCCTGGCAGACGGTAACCCTTTAAACCAAACTCTGTGGGAAAATCTTGATTCCTAAGTGTTTAGTAGTAACAGATGTTTGTGTCAATGGGGCCTTTTGTTTAGGATGTGTATCAGCAGGAAGCAACTCCTGCTCCTCCTGGTCTGTAGGAGGATTCTACTCCCAGCTCCTGAAATTGTTTTCCTTTTTTAGATTGTGCCTTACAGCACTTTGAGAATTACTTCTTGCCATTTTTGTCACTCTCTGCTTTTATCATTGTCTCCCCCACTCTGTTATCATCAGCTGCCATTGAGTTAGTCCATCAGGATGCAACTACCTGGTCCTATGCCAGTCCTTTGGTTGCACATCAGACAGTTGTGATCCATAAGGTTTTCAGTGGGTGATTTTTGGAAGTAGATCACCAGGCCTTTCTTCCTAGTCTGTTAGGGTCTGTAAACTGCTGAAACGAAACCTGCTTCCCATCATAGTGACATGCAAGCCTCCACTGACAGATGGGTGGTGGCTACATATGAGGTACATTTTCTGGGCATCAGACTCGGGTCTCCTGAATGGAAGGAGAGAATTCTGCCACCAGACCACCACCACCTCATCCTTCACTACTCTAAAGAGTTATTTATCTTATTCCTAGGCCCCAGGTGCATTGAGGTTGCTATGACAACAGAAGCCATGCTTCCTGCCCTGTCTTGACAAGAGTCAACTGTAATGACCAGCAATCAGATAGGTGTGAAGGGTGGGCCATCCAGGGATTTCTCTTTCTCCTCTCCCCACTTTAGATGGCAACCCTAAAGGCCCATTTACCTTCCTGGCAGAAGCTTGCCTTGAATGGTTTTGTTGCACCCCCAGGCAAATTCCTGGTGGGAACCCACCCTAGCCTAGCCTGACCTCAGGGAGGATGGCTATATTGGCTCTGTGCACCACTGCAGGATGCGGGTGTGAGAGCTCCACTCTTCCCACGAAGAGTTTGCACGGAAACCGGCCATCCAGGCTGACTCATCCATTGTTTAGGAGAGCATCGGCTAGGGTGGTGGGAAGCAGTGGGCCTGCGGCCAGGAGCCCTGCATTCCCAGCCCAGCCCTACTATTCATGCTCTTATTCCCTCAGCAAATGTTTACTGGGCTTCAGTTTGGTGCTATACAGGACCACTGCACAGAGGGATGATGAGGACAAGGTCTCTGCTCTCAAGGAGCTTCTACTTAGTGGGGAACACTGCTGCATATGTAGCTATTTACAGACAGGGAAGAAAACTGTGAGGGAATGCACTGTGATTCATGAGATTACTGAGGGATCTATCACAGTGAGGGGTTGGGAATGCTTCTCCAAGGAGGTGAGAAGCTAGGAAGGCGCTTGGAAGAGGGAGGAGCACCAAGGCCTGAGATAGGAAAGGGCTTGACATGCTTTAGGAAGAGAAAAGAAGACAGTGTGACTAGAGGGTAGAAGGAAGTAGGCAGTGAGAGACAGGCAGGAGCCAGGTCAGGTAAGCTTTATTCTAAGTGAGACAGAAGCAGTCACAGGGCCTTCAGCAGGAAGAATGGTGATTTGTTCTTGCAGTGCTGTTCTGGCTGCTCTGGGAAATGGAGTGTAGGCAACAGAAAGGAACAAGAAGAAGAGTTAGGATGTTGTAGGAGTCCCTACAAGAGGGCCCAGTGGGGCAGCAACAAGCAAGAAGCAAGACCAATTTGAAACATATTTTAATGGTAGAATTGGCAGGCTTTTGAATGTAGAGAAGAGGAAAATGAGAATATCCAGAGAATATTTAGGTTTTTACTTGAGTGACAAGGTAAATGGTAATGCTATTTATTGGTTAGTAAAGACTGTAGGACAAGCAGATTCTGGAGGGAAAATTAAAGATTTCAGTTTTGCAAGAGTTAAGTTTGAGCTGCCAGATGTTGTTGGTCATTGCTCGTGAGTCAACTCTGACTCATGACAATCCCATGAATGAAGAAATAATGCTACCATCCTGCACCATCTTCACAATGCCTTCCAACCCAAGTGCCCATCTTCCAGCACTGTATCAAATAATTTTGGGTTGTGATCCACAGGGTTTTAATTGGCCAGTTTTCAGAAGTAGATCACCAGTCTTTTCTTTCTATTCTGTCTTAGTCTGGAAACTCTGCTGAAAACTGTCTACCATGAGTGACCCTGCTGGTATTTGAAATACCATTGCATAGCTTCCAGCATTATAGCAACATGCAAGCTACCACAGTAAGACAAACTGACTGATAGATAAGTGACAGTGAGATGCCAGATAGATACGCAATACTGAAGACTCTGTAGGATCTACAAGTCAGGAACCTAATGGAGAGGTTGGAACATTCAGCCTATAAATATTATTAAATTATGAGTACATTGAAATCACCAGGGAGAGAAGAAAGCAAAAAGGGGGGTTGGAAGAAAGATGAGCAACCCACAAAGGAGCCTGGAAAAGTCAGTGCATGATTTGAAAGCCAAGACACTGAGAGTCATGGAAACCATGAAAGAGAAGTGAGTCAAAAAGGTTAGAGTGGCCAACTCTGTTGGATGCTGCTGAGAGGTGGTGTCAAGTGAAGTCAGGAAAGCTACCTTTGGCTCAGACCACATGAAAGATGTTGATGACTTTAACAGCCATGCATCTACTTAGGAGTGGTAGAGAAGGAAGCCAGACCAAAGAAGATGGAAGAGTGAATGGGATGTCAGGAAGTAGATACAATGAGTACAGATTTTGTAAGAGAATTTTGCTAGGAAGGGAAGCGGTAATAGGGAGGTAGCAGAGGGAGATTAGGGTCAGAAGACATTTGTTTTAAGATGAGTGACACAGGACCATGTTTATGTACGAGCCGTATAACTGTGCAAATACCTTTACCTCGCAAAGAGTCATTTTCCCAACTAAGCAGTTATTGACATTCTCCAAGTCTCTAACTCCCTTTGGTGTCTCTGGTTCTATATGACCATAGCTCCTTTGGGGTGATGGTGGAGAGCACTGTAATTAACATTAGTTGATGTAATGTGTTTCTAATGTGTAAACAAGTCAGAGTACCCAATGGAGACCCTATAAATATTATGAAATGATGAGCACATTAAAATCACGAAGGAGAGAGGAAAGCAAAAGGAAAGGTTGGGAAGAAGATGAAGAATCAGCAAAGGAACTTGGGAAAGTCAGTGTGTGATTTGGAAAGTCAGTGGACATGTGAGGAGAGCCTTATCTCTAGCCTCTATGAAAGTGTGATCAACCCAGCTTCTGACAGCCAAGATCTTTTCCTTTGTGTGTGAAGCAGGGAGAAAGGATATAGTATTTTTAGACTCTTTGCTAGAAGGCTTACTTTGGCATTTGTTTTTCTTTGTCTCAGTATTCAGAAATTGTGTTTCCCTAAATTTAGGCTAACCATACAATGACTCAATGACTTTTGAAAAACTTGTTCTCCGGCAATGTGGAAAATACGGCTATCAGGGGCACTTATAATAAGGAGGAAATGATTCAGAACCCACACTGAATTATATATGTAGTCTTGGATTTGTTTACTCTCGTTACCTAAAGTTCTCCCTTAAATGCACGGAGAGAGCCTGGAAATTATTGAAAGTAAAAGGAAAAGTGTCTTAGGCTAGGTTCTCTAGAGAAGCAAATCCAGTAAAGCTTATATATGTATACATTGTTGTTGCTATGTGCCGCCAAGTCAGACCCAACTCATAGCGACCCCTCCTTGGGTTTCCAAGGTGATATCCCTACGGAAGTAGTTGCCCAACCTTCCTTCTGAGGAGTGGCTGGTGGGTTTGAACCACCATAGAGAGATTTATCTCCAGGAAATGGCTCACAAGGTTGTAGAGGCTAGGAGGTCCCAAGTCTGTGGGTCAGATTTCAGGCTGGAGGTTTCTCCTGACTCATGTAGCTGAAGGGATTGACAAACCCAAGATCAGCAGGTCAGATAGCAGGCTGCTGGCTATCAGGTTGCAGAGGCTAGTGGATCTGAAGATCAGCAGGCAATGTGGAGAGGCACTGGTTCAAGTTCCAAGAACCAGACATCAGATGGATAAGAGCGGTGAAGGATCCAGATTAAGCAAAATGTAGAGAGCTTTGCCAGAATGTCCATATATATTCAATGCAGGCCACAGCCCCAAAGCAATGCCCTTTTAAACTGATGGCTGCTCAGAGCAGATCTCATCATGGCGTGTGACTACCTCATTATATAACTGACACACTACATCATAACTGCCAAACCAGAGAATCATGGCCCAGCCAAGCTGTCACATAACTTTAACCTTCACAAAAAGAGCAAGAGTGATAAAAATTTGTTCTTAGATTTTTTTTTTTTTTAAATTTGTTTTAATATGCAAAAAAAGACCTTGGTAAAGAAGTCTCTTAAAATGATGTCTCTTAAAGTGCTCAGAGTGGCGATTTTCTTCCCCCTAAGCTACTGCTTGGTCTTGAAATGATGGACCAAGAACAATGTCAAAATCTTGGTTTGTGTCTTGATAGGTGTTTCCATGTTGACCGAGGTAGCGGAAACTTAGTCTTACTTATCTTTGCAGCAGCTTTCCACATGATTGATCACAGCCTCTTCCTAAAAATCTTCTTTTTGCTTGGATTCTTAGTTCTCCTCTACCTTGTTGGTCCGTGCTTCCTCACCTCTCTTCTTGGCTAATTTAACATCTTCACTTGGAGGACTCAAGGAACATGGTGTT